GGGGGGGGCTGGCAGCGACCATGAATTGGTAGAGAATGTTGGGTGGTAAGAGATGTCGACAATGGTGGCTAGCGGAAATTGGGGTGTTCATTAGTGAAGGGTATTTTGGACCATTCCTCCCCATAGTCAACCACTCTTAAAAATGAGGAAAAGTCAAACCGGAAACATCATTCTCGGACGGATGGAGTAGTACATGTGAACTGTTTAGTTCTATTCTACTTCAACAAAACAATCACAAAGAACAATCTCAGAGCACACACAACATCCTCAACTTTTCTTTTAGGAGTTGCTTGGTTTGGGAATTCACGTGGGGGTGGGATTGGTTTTGCTAATTTATCGATATTCATTAGTGTCGGTATTTTATTTGATTTACTGTAGCTTTTGTTTAATTTATCAATATTAATTAGTGTTATACTAGAAAAGAATGATTAGTGTATGAAAAAACTACTCCGGGTAATTGAGAACTTTATTTTTATTTCACTTCCCATCCAACGGATTAATTAATGTAGGGAAAAGTACTCCAATATTACCCTTCCTCTTACAATCATATGCATCTCCCACCTCCACCACCCAATAAAAAAAAGGATGACCGCTCTCTTATGCTCTTTCAAAAGTTGAAACAATTAATATAAATCACTATCACCCAATCACTTGGGAAATGAACAAAAAAAGTAATGCTAGTTAATGCTATTTTACATTTGTGCTTCAATTCATTATTATTTAGAGGTGAAATCAATATTGTGAATTGGGGAAAGATTTAGGCTCAAGTATACTAAAACATGAAGTTTTAAGAGAGACATTCAGGGTCATCTACAAAGGGGAGCAAGTGGACCATTTGCTCATGGCTCCCAAAGTTGGGTGAACCCCCAAAGTTTAAATTAGTGTGTTCCATACCTGATCAAACTGTGTGTCCTAGTTATAGGATGGAAGGAGTAAAAACTAAAATATTGATCTAGATTTAAGTTTTCCTCTAGCAACTAGCACCATACCTTTCTTAATAGCGGTCTAATTTAGGAATTTAGCTTAGGGCCCCGAAATAATACAGGACGGCCCTGAATATGTTTTCCTCCTAAAGCATATCCATGGTCCCACATATGCCCTAATTTTTTTGCTCATTATACTAAATAGGAATTTTTTACTGGAGTAAATTTTTTCTTAAATCCGCCTTTGTCTCAATTAGTCAATTATACTGAAAATTTAAATTCCATTGATATTCAGTCCCTCTATTAACAGATCCTTTAAAAGAATGGTTAGTGAACCATATGATTCACAACATAATCCACGTGAAAGCCTTGTATTCAACTTGTTTTTGAGCAGTACTGAGAAGAAAATAGTATAGAGGATTATGGGGAATATGTGAACCAACATATGAGTTATGGAAAAACCGTTTCAAGACTTACTCCAAAATATTTTACTCTGGTACAATTGAACCAAAATAATTTCAGGGGCACATTTGAGACTGTTTCTATACTTTAGGGGCAAGAATCTACCTTAACTATATTAAGAATGTATGGGTTCCCACTGTCCGGCATATATTTCAGCACCCTTACGCACTGTACACATCCCAAGATTAATAGTCCATAAAGTACAAAAATGTTATGTACTGCCAAGAATAATTTTGGATTGAGAGAGAAGTATGCAACACTAAAACTATGTAAGAGACCAAACTCTTCGCCAAAATCTCAAAGTTCTGTTAGTAAAAGGAGGCAAATATCTTTGTTATACTATCTTGCACGGATTTTTCAAACAAGTTTCATTTTCCGTCCCCAAAGTGTTCCCGTTCCGATACTTGGGATGTCCCAACACCCAAATTCTATGTAAAAATTTGGAAAAGATGGTGTTTGCATGTTCTTGACCCCGTCCCAATACGATTACCCATCCCCATCTCAGTTCAACTTACTTGTTATAACTTATAAGGCTCTATTGAATGAAGAGTTTAGAATACAATCATCTCTATAAGGGAATCCTAATTTACACGCCTAAAGTCTGAATACCCATAAACAATCCTCAAATTCCTCAATAATCTGATGCATGTGGAAATTAGTCATCAGCAAGGAAAGCCCCAATTTAGCTCATTCGGAAATTGTGAGTGTAGTAAACACGAATTACGCACCCAATCAACCAAGAGAAGTATAGAACCAATGTAGTATGCATATATGGGTGTATATAGATAGGTAAATTAGAGTATTGGAAGACGCACTTGCGAAGAGCAGGGGCCATTTTGTTGGTGAGAGTACCGGCAACAATCATGCAATCGGACTGCCTCGGGCTGGGCCTGAAAATTATACCGAACCGGTCGAGATCGTAGCGCGCAGCTCCGGTATGCATCATCTCGACAGCGCAGCAAGCGAGACCGAAGGTCATGGGCCAGATGGATCCGCGGCGGGCCCAGTTCATCAGATCGTCGACTTTCGAGATGACAAACTCGGCCGTCTTGGACAGTCCCGACGGAGACGAGGTGGAAGGAGGAGGCGGGCGCGAGTAAGTAGTCGGCGTGGACGACGGTTGCGGCGACAAGGCAGGGAGAGTGGTGTGGATCGGCGCGGCGCGCTGTAGAAGAGGCGCCGCCGGGGCCAACCGCCGGGCGTTCCGAACCAGGAGAGCCATTTTACTGCTGAGATCGCAGGAAATGAAGATGGTGATTTCGATGTTCGCTCCAATTTTAGGTTGCAAACTGGGTCGGGTTGACCCGAGGGATCCAGATAAGTGAAGAAGATAATCCCCCTTGATCGCGGTTCTATGGTCTTTGGCGGTACAACACCATGAGGAATAAGTGTATGGTCATGACTCATGATATTAGTATTAGCATTTTAAAAAAATTATCTGATGATAATCTTTAGCGTAAAAGTTTTAAAAATTAATTTATATCATTTAAATTTTGTTTATAATGTTAACGATAATCGAAAACGTTGTTTCCAAATAATGTTGTTGTGTGTTGGTAAAGGCAAGAAGTGTCAAATGGTTTATCTGAGTTCGATTCCTGAAAGCTGTGTTGGGTAATTATGTTAAACATAGCACTTTTGCAAGTACTGTGTGTAGGCTTCACTTCCTACCAGAAAATTACAACTAAAATCTAATTTTCTTTCTCTTAATGACCGTCCAATCGAGTCTAAAGGAACCCTCGAGAATGGGGCTCATCTTTTTTTATGAAAGGGGTATTAAATCCACATAATAGTTGGCCCAAAAATATTTGATAAGACTCCATTCTATTTCTCTTCAATTTATTTTGTCTACTCATTACTTGTTTTTATTAAAGTTGGATCAAATCAGATTAGTAACAATTACTACTATACTACAATTAGATTGAATCATTAAAAATTCCCATCTAAGAGTCTGTTCTTTAAGGCTTGAACTCTTAACTTCCAGTTTTTTCCAGTTCCTTCAAGTTCTTCCCGTTTTTTCCAGTTCCTTCCAGTTCTTCCAGTTTCTTCTAGTTCCTTCCAGTTTCTTCCAACTATTCACATTTTTTTCAAACTCTTTATATTTCCCAACCAATTACTCTAAAAATGATATATTTTTAATGTGGTTATTATTATTGTTGTTGTTGTTGTTGTTGTTATTATTATTATTATTATTATTATTATTATTATTATTATTATTATTATTACAACTGATGTGTTCACAACTATAGTTTATAAATTATTTTTTCATCTCACTATTTTTACAATTCACACTCATTATTTTTTTCTTCAACTTTTTAATATAAATAAGACAATTTTCTGTGTATTAATCTACATGATAAAACATGAAAACATCAATATGTTAAACTATATTACAAAATTATGAGTAAAATAGTGACATAGAATGTTTTATTAATCTAACTTTATATAAGACCTCTCACCTTTCTCTTTATTACTTAAAATTTGCTCATTTTTCTAATGTTTATAAAAACAATTGTGAGTCAAAATCGTTTAGAGAAAAAAAACTAAAATAGGAGTAAAACATAAAAATGTAAAAAAAAAGTTTTATATCTTTATTCCAAAAATAGGACTTCAATGAAAATAAAATGTCAATCATGAAAGAAAAAAATATGTTTGAATAAATTATGTGACATGTCTGATATTTAAAATAAAATTTTGTAATATATAAAGAATAATGACAAATATATATCATTTATAATGAATATTGCATAAATAAATTGAAGTTCAACGTAACCATAAAAACTTTTTAAAATTTTATATTTTTATATTTATGCTAACTTTATATTATAATTATTTTTTTGTAAAAGTAGTTTTTTGTATTTGAAAAATAATAATACATTTTTTGTATCTTAAAGATATTTACTAAGATAACGTGATGATGATGATGGTGATGATCATTATAATAATAATAATTTATAACAACAAGAATTTAAAATAAATTTTTTAAAAGTTTTTTTAGGTTTTCCATTTTTTTAAAGCTTTTCCTATTTCTTCCTGTCTCTTCCAGTTTTTTCCAGTTTCTTCCAAATTCTTCCAGTTTCTTTCAATTTTTTCCAGTTTCTTCCAGTTCTTCCAGTTCCTTCTAGTTTTCTTCTAGTTTCTTATAGTTCCTTCCAGTTTTTTCCAGTTTCTTCCAACATCCTGCTCTTTTTTTTAGTTATAAAGAACATATTCTAAGTTTTGTTAAATTTGTATTTATAGGTCATGTATTTTTTGTTTAATTGATAATCAAATTTTGTTTAGTTTACTTACAAAAAGTCAATATAGAGGAATATAATACAAGTATTAAAAAGGTAACATGAGGTCCAATGTCCAAATGTTAAATGATCAGTTTTTATTTTTACCATCCAATCCATTTTACTAGTCTCTTTTATTATTTTTTAAATTCCAAACAAACACATTCTTTGAACTTATTTGGGGGTGATTAACTTCTGGATAAAGTGATTTTCACAAAAGCTGAAAGCAAAAGCACCTCATACTTGCTTCTCCAATACGGTGTTCTGTGTATAAAATAGTGGTAGTGAAAAACAAAAGTTGACATGTCAAACAGAATAAAATCACTTCCACTCAAAGCAGAAACTAAATTACTAAAAACAGCTCACTACTAAACATCCTCTTTATACATTTCGTTAATCACTTTCTAAAAATAAGAAGTATGATCAAGTTATATTCTTTAATCATACATAGAGTAATTTATTAAGAATTATACCCTTATTTTAATTAGGAAAAAATTCGAATCATTACACCAGAAAATGTAAAATTTTACTTAAATACTCTGAAATTCAATATATGACCATGATGCTTCCAGGAATTTTATTTATTTACGTTACTGTCCTGACAATGACATAAGTTTACAACTTTACATCATTGCTCCAACATTTGGAATAAAGATATGAACATATTTCAGTGTCATTTATTGAATATCAAAGTATTAATGTAAAACTATGTAATTTTAGAGGTAGCGATATAAATTTTTCCTTTAACTAATTGATTTAAGTTATTCTAATTAAACATAACTTGAAACGGGCCCAACTATAAACAAAATAGAGGAGCAAATATTAGTAATGATATGGGTATTGTAAACTTATGCCCACATCCATTTGAGCCTGCAAGTTTGGGTCGGGTCCGCGATCCATTGCAATTTTTATGTGGTCTTTGACTATCTGGATTCTATTTAATTGTAAAAACTCTAAATGGTTTTTTTTCTTTGTGTGAGATGGGTCTAAGATTCACTACTAATCTTTGAAATTAATTTAGTCAAATATCATAAATAGTAACGATAACTTAAATTGAGATAGATAAAATTATCTTATTTTTTAAAAAATCACTCTGAAAATTATATTAAGGCTCAGTTTGGTACACGGAATTCAAACTATGGAATTGGAATTGTGGACTTCAATTCCAATTCTGGTGTTTGGTAGCACAAAAATTATGTGGATTTGAAATAGATAGTGCAAAAAATGAATTAGAATTGGTGAATTCAATTATATGGAATTGAATTCCATGGAATTCCAATTCCAATTCAATTCCATTTCCATCAATTCCGTATACCAAACGGACCCTAAATAGAACAGGAATTGAAGTTAGGGGGGTGACAAAGCTCATTTCTTGTTGCTCTAAGAGAAACGAGATGCGCATGTTAACTGATGCTTCTTTAATAGAGCACGAAAAAAACAGAAACATAAATCTTCATCTCAATCTGAATAGAGACATTTGCAATCAACAATAATATTACGAGTAGCTTTTGTTGTTTTAACATATGGAGTAATAAAACCTAATGAGAACACACAAAAACAAAAATCATTTTCCGCTAAATAAGATTCATTTTCATTAACGTCAAAAATCATTTTCTATTGCCTCCTATTTTCTTGAAAAATCGAACACCACAAAAAAAAGAGAAAACCACTCATGAAATTCATTTTCCACATCCCAAATCGGATCCTAAAAAATAAATACACCTTTCTAATCATATGTATCAAAATTTGGTTGTTCTTCCCATTTTACCCTCAATTACTAAAAACCCACTAACAACCCCTTGTTAGTTCCATGGGGTTGGCTAATCTTTTGGCAAAATAGAATCCCATATTTGTTAGGTGTTTTACTAGGTAGAAACCTCTATTTGTTAGGAGAGGTTTATTTTATTTAGACTTCAAGAGTTGCTGCAGTTTTCGAGGTTGACACAGAAGATGCTACAACACGATACTACAACACATAGTTCGGGATCAGAAGTTTGAGCACGAGATTTTTAGGTGCAATCTTAATTAAAGACCTATTCGGATTGTGATTACATGATAATAACTCCAGCTATACGTGTTAAGGAATTCCAACTCTTTAGGCTACTTGTGGATCAAGATTAAAGAAGTTGTATTCAAACCAACTTCAATTCTACTAACCTATTCCTACTAGGATTGTGTTAAGAGAAGCCTATAAAAACGCAGAAGGACCGTGGGAATTACTTAGAGCAATTGAGAGGAAAAACAAAGAATATATGCTAATGTAGAGCATTCCCGTCGCGTCCTGGAGCTTCTCATGCGTGAAGAAGGTTACGATCTACATGAAGGAGGAGATCTTCAACGCCAAACATATCGTGATGTCTAGGAGATGAACTAGAGATGAACGAGTGGGCTGCCAACACGTTTTTCCTCGTGATCTCGGTGGAGATGTGATAGCCGAAGCGAATCTGTACAGGGTACGGGTTAGAAATCCTAGATTAGAAGTTTTGTCATAACAATTCGGAGAAGTGTGTCATAATATTGTTAGAGATGAACGAGTGGGCTGCCAACACGTTTTTCCTCGTGATCTCGGTGGAGATGTGATAGCCGAAGCGAATCTGTACAGGGTACGAGTTAGAAATCCTAGATTAGAAATTTTGTCATAACAATTCGGAGAAGTGTGTCATAATATTGTTATGTACTAGTGTAACTTACATCTAGTGATTTAGTGGAGGGCTATTACACGGACGTGGGCCCCGCAGACTAGGAGAGTTCTCTGAACTGCTACGCATTTTATGGTTACAACATTTTTTCCTATAGGCGATATAACGCCCTCTGCATCATCTGCTTCTGTGTGTGCTTGTGACATAGAAGTTTTATAGTACACTGTCTGTCATCTGTTGCTGTGACAGTGCTGCAGTATCTTCTCTATGGCATAATTGATTGATTTGTTTACATAGCTCCTAATTAGTGATTTCCGCTGCGCTCCTACAAACTTACAGCCCGACCAACATGTGGTTCAATTTTGGATTCGTATATAGTAGATTTTGTCACGTATTTTCCAAGAGCTCTCTTTATTTCTACAATGTCCAATACATAAAATCATTTTGTACATAAAAGTTC